AGGCCAGGGACAAGGTAAGGGTACCCCAAGTGCCCCTTGACCCCAGCCAGACCCTGAGCACCACTGCTCCTCATCTCAGCTGTGTCTAGCAGAGCTCCTTCACCCCTGCCTCCCACAGACAGCCCAGGGGGAGCAACCCCAGAGCCACAGAGCTTTGAGGAAGAATTGTCCCCTCACTCCTGCAGGATGTGTGAGCATATTGCACCTGTATGGATAACCACATACTGCAAAGAACACAGTCCGCTTATCAGGGTTGAGGTACCACCATCCTTACAGGTTCGCTAAAGTTTCACAAGCCCATTCAACAAATAGGTCATGGAGGGTGACATGCCCATGATGGCCAGTTATAAATGATGGAATCGGCTGAGGACCCTAACTCTGCATTGCAGCTTTGGACTTGATTGCTTTGCTTTTCCCAGCTTCTTAGGCTGATCTGCACATAGTATGTGGGGCTTTTGTAAACTGGATTCTTATTCAGGAGGCTTGGTGTGGGGCCTGAGACTCAGCATTCCTAACCAGCGTCCAAGAAGTGCAGAGGCTGCTGGCCCAGGGAGAACGCTGAGTTACGAGGTGTTCTTTAGAGGCTGTTGCTTGGGTTGAATTAGAGATGACAGCTGATGGCAGCTGTCAGTCCAAACAGGGCCTGACACATGTAACTATTCCCTTGCATCTATTCTCATTTACTCCCACAATAGCACTACAGATTCTATTATTTCCATCTTACAGACGAGGAAGTTGAGGCACAATAACTAAATGATCTCAGGTTCATTATGACTGGGCAGTTCCTGACCTCAGAAAGGGCTTCCCAAGGTCTACACTTCATGACCTGGACCTTCACCATAGCAGACCCAGAGGTGTCCTTGAGGTGGCCTGTCAGTCAGTCCAAATCCCACCTTCCCAGGTGTGGGCCTCAAGCTTTTCCTTAGCCTTGTCCTTACGCATAGATAATGGGGTCTCCCCACTTCCTATAATCCTGGGCTTTGGACTGGGCCGTATTCTGGCTGGAACTCAGCTAACCACAGAGCTGAGCCCCCTTGCTTGATGACTCTCCACCAACCTGTTCCCTCCCCGCACAGTTTGCCAAGGCACTGATGCACTTCGGGGAACATGACAGCAAGATGCAACCCGACGAGTTCTTTGGCATCTTTGACACCTTCCTGCAGTCCTTCTCAGAGGCCCGGCAGGACTTGGAGGCCATGAGGAGGAGGAAAGAGGAGGAGGAACGGCGGGCACGCATGGAAGCCATGGTGAGGCTGGGCCTGGGGCAGGATGAGGGCAGAGGGGAGGGCCTGAGCAGAGGGTCAGGGCAGGGAGCCACTTGGGGGTAGAATTGTTGGGCTGAGGCGGAAGGGACTGGGGCACAGACAGCAGTGAGAGGTTGGGGCATCCTGAGAAGTAAGATGGGGGTGTAAGTGAAGCACCCCCAGTCCAGGGGTGGGCCCCCAGCCGTAAGGCCATCAGTGCAGCAAGGGGACTATGCAGCTTCCCTGCCTTGGCCCCTGTCCCTGAGGGGGCTCCAGCTTCTCGACCCCCACCCCCAGCTGAAGGAGCAGCGGGAGCGGGAGCGGTGGCAACGGCAGCGGAAGGTCCTGGCGAGCAGCACCCTGGAGGAGGGAGGAGAGTTCGACGACCTGGTGTCGGCCCTGCGCTCTGGAGAGGTGTTCGACAAGGACTTGAGCAAGCTCAAGCGTAGCCGCAAGCGTTCAGGGAGCCAGGCCCCAGAAGCCACCCGTGAAAGGGCCATTAACAGGCTAAATTACTGACCTGGGGAATGGCCACGTGGGCGGCCAGGAGACAGGGACAGCTGAGAGGGGTTCAATGGAGGAGGTGGTATTCAAGCCCCAGACTGGGCCCTGGGTGAGGCTGGGTGGGGCTGGACCAGGTGTCTCCCCACACTTACCTTAAGGGACTCTGCTCACCTCCTCCACATTGATCGTTCTGATCCTGGCTCCTGGGGGGAGCCTCTGGGGTTGGCTTGGACATCCCTGGCAAGTCCTGGCCAGGCAATCTCAGACTGAGGGGGCCCTGTTCCTGCTCCCCGCCCTGGGCAAACCCACGCTAGCGCAGAACTGTTCCAGATCTAGACTGGAGAGGTCCATGGACCTTGTCCCAATCTGATCTCCTGTGCAGTGGGGAGTAATGGTGGTTGGGCCTCTGAGAGCCAAGGGGAGGGAATCCAGGCTCCTATCGCTGAAGAGGAGGCTCAGTGGAACATGAATCTGGGAGCAAACTTTTTTCTTGGCTGGAAACTGAAGAGGCCTTATGTAAGATGAAGGTGATGTACGGACCAAAGTCAGCAGGACGGAGTAGCAGTGCCTGTTTCCCACAGTGTCAGTCCTTTGGTCACTCTCCCTTCCCTATCCCCATGTCCATCCTACCTACTAATCTACAATCCAGCAAATGTACCCCGGGGTTCCCAGGACTATGACTCACGAGGTGCTTGACAAGTCTGGTGAGGGAGGGAGTAAAAGAAGACTTCATGTGTCCTCACACTTCATGTCTTGGGCAAGGGATCCTGCGACAACCCCCTATTGTCCTGAAGTGAGAGTGATCACACATGTTGCTAGAGTTCCTGGGAGCCCCTCACCAGAGGGTGACACTTGAAAACCTAGTTCCATGTAACAGTTCCCTGGGCTCCACACCTTCTGAACATCTGCCCCAGGGCAGAAGTCACAGCGGCCTCCTGCCTGTCCAGGCTGCAGAGATTTCTTGGAACCATGAAAAGTTGGCTGAGGCTGGCCCTGGGAAGTTGGTTCCTGAGGACCAAAGCTACCCTCTGCATTTACAGTCACCTCTAAGGATGGTCCCCCTGGAGGCATTCAAAGTGGGGGCTGAGAGGACAGGCAGGGAACACTGGGGAGATGGGGAGACAAGGCCACTGACTTCCTTGGAGAGCACAGCGCTTGAAGGAGCCAAGGGAGGACAGCTGAGAGAAGGCGCCCACTTCCACCTCTGGTGGTCAGTTTGGTTCTTGCAAAGGAGCCCATACTGGTCCTCCTGTCCACCACCTTCATTTTGTCCATACTGAGTTGTGCTTGGCAGGTCAGCAGAACAGCTGTATCTGGACAGGTTTTCTTTCTTCTAAATGGAGGAGGGTGAGGTCAGCAGGGGGAGATCAGCTCCATCAAGGCCTGTATTTTCTAAACACATAGCTTCAGGCTAGCCCTGCCTGCTCTGCACCATCATCTTCCAATCCCATCTTCCTGGCTCAGGGTCGTTGCCAGTGGACAGAGTGGTGGGCTGGGCTCACTTTTGAGCTGCCTATCTTAGGTCTTTTCCCTATATCAGATTCCTAGGGTGGGATCATAGTAGTTGTGGGGGAAGAAACACAGGGTCAGTGAGGCCAGCATGTGAGTTGGTTTGAGGGGGAGGTTATAAGTGTTTTGGTGGGAGGGATCCGAGCAAGTGCAAGCTTGGTCAGCATAGGTGTGAAGAGGCCATCCTGGGACCTAGGTGAGGGTAAGGCAAAGGCTTAGGCTTCTAAGAGCAGTTGCTGAGAGCTTTGTTACCTCCATCTGTACCCCAAGAACCTCTGCTGCAAGCAGTGGGCTCTGGGAGGATGGGGGTTCATGATGGGGTTTCCTAAGGTCCTCTCCCAAACTGACTGGGCTGGGTCAGCCAGGGGCAGCGAACGGAGAGGGCTCTACTTCTGTCCAACCAACACCATCAAATCTTGGCATTCCCAACTACCATGGAAGCCCGGATATTCACCAGCAAAGCCATGGAATATGGAAGCTGTTCAAGACACACTCAATTCTCAGCAAGGCAGGGTTTGGTTTAACTGTTTACAGGGGACACATTCTTCCAGAGCCCAGCCTTCTCACCCCCAAAATATTTTTTCTATTTATTATTTTCTGGATCTGGCCAGTGGCTCTGGCACTAGATGCCACTGTGGCCAGATCTCCAACAGTGCCTTGAACTATGGACCATCATGGTCAAATCAATAAGGTGGCCCTGGTGCCCAAAGTAGGTAGTGGGGTTGGTCCTTGGTGTTAAATGATTAAGCCTGTATATATGTTCCTTGGTTTTGCTTTCCCCAGGACTCCTGCAACCTTCTTACCCCTTTGGGGGGTAAATTCCTCTAGCTAATTTGTGTCCACTGTAAAATTTATAGCCAACCTCATGTGACCCTTTTCAACAGCGGCAGCAGCACCATCTCCCCTGCCCATGATGGATGTATTTAGGGGAGTGAGAAAATTCTCCAGGTGGATGGAGAAAGGTCTGGTCTGGGTTCTCCCCATACCTCTCCCATTGCCACCAACTGGGCAGCCATAACCCTCTCTCTCCTCCCTCTACAAGGGACCTCTACCAAACTTCACGTCAAGGCTGCTCTCACCAGCTGTCTCAGATGACAACTGAGGCTCATGTACAAAATCTGCAGTGTCCTTTTTACCTGCACCATTTTTTATAAGAATATATTGTAATACTAAAAAATATTAAATCCATACCATCCCTATCCAGGCTGCTAGAAACTTGTGCTTCCTCCCAGAGGGGACTTGAGGTGGGCTGGGAAGTGGTCACAGTGGGGGATGTGCCATAGCCAGCTGGTACCTGCTCCTCAAAAGTCCGCAGTGTTGCATAGAGAGCTAGAATTGGGAATATTTGTATCAGGAAATCCTTTTCAGAGCTGGTTGTTCAACCTTTGCCAGCACACCTCAGCAGGGTCACCACTGAGGAGACTCCCAGAGGAGCCCATTCACACTAGAGAACCCAGGGGGCTAGGCCAGTGTTTGGGGGTGTGGAAACAGGAGCCTCCAAATCACTCCTGGTTACTAGTAGCTGGTGATACAAGCAAGGTGGTTGGGGTGCATCACCCCTGACAAAATTTTTTTTACAGTGCATTCCCATACCTCCCACTCCCCATGGGGGGCGGAGGGGAGGGAAGCGGGCATATGGAGAGGATGCCGTTGGCCTTGCCAGGGTCTCCCTGCTTTTCTTGGGGAATGGGTCTGCGGGATGGATTGAGGCGGAATGAACCATAGCAGCCCAACACCCCCAGATACAGTCTTTGTTCTTGCCTCTCCAAATTTGGCACCGTGGCTTTATTTGTGTTGAGGGCGAAGGTCTATCTTCAACTCTCTTCTTTCCCTGACATGTTCCAGAATAAAAAGGTGGGTGTGGGTGGAAGGCAGTGAGCAGGTGTGGGGTAAGCAGTCAGCCAAGGGTCCCCAGGGTACCCCAACACGTGCATTCTGTGTAAGAGGGGGACAAGGAAAGGGAGCTGGCGGGTCAGTGCAATTGTTAAGTCCAAAGCCTGTAGGTGGCATCAGCCACAGACTAGGGCCAAAGGAAGGGGCAACTGGTTCTTTAGAAAGAGGGATGGCAGGAACGGAGGGACAGCACAGGGCTGTGGCCACATGAGATCGGGAAGGCCACACTATTGGAGAGAAGCTGTGACACATTCTTAAGCAAGCTTGTGCTTTTCCCTTCTCAAAGTGGGTTCCTCTGCTTAATGAGCCCTTATTTTCTCCCCAGGAACCAGGGGAAGAGAGAACCCAAAATGAGTAGTTACGGGTTGGGTTTCCCAAAGCTAGTGTCTCCAACAGTTCATAAATAACATGTCCTGGTTTTCCTGTCACCTGGTGATGCTCTCTGTAGTCCCCTCCATTACCTCAGTGTCCTTGGAAGACTTAAAGGTCTATGGCATCCTCTCTGCATAAAGGGGACTTCACAGGTTATTATAAATCATCTCTCAGCAAAGGGACAGGCTCTAAGCCCGATGGAAGTCCCCCCGCTGGCCTCCAGTCTTGCTGATGAGTTTGACCTCCTCCACCACGATGTCCCTGCTGACAGCCTTGCACATGTCATACAGGGTGAGGGCGGCCACCGCAGCAGAGGTCAGCGCCTCCATCTCCACCCCGGTGGGGCCCCGAGCCCGACAAGTGGCCTGGATCACTGCTGCATGGCGTGAGCTGTCCAGCTCCAGCTGCACCTGGACATGGTTCAGGGCCACATGGTGGCACAGAGGAATGAGCTGGCTGGTGATCTTGGCCGCCTGGATTCCAGCCAGCTGGGCCACCACCAGGGCATCTCCCTTCTTTAGCTGGTTCTGTTGGACAAGCTTGAAGGCTACAGGCCCCAGGAGGACCACAGCTGAGGCCACGGCCACCCGCTCCGTATCTGGTTTCCCACCCACATCTACCATCGCTGCCTGTCCTTCCGAGTCCACATGTGTTAGCTGGTCTGAGGTCGACCAGGGTCCTGAGTGGGCAGCAGGAACCCGGGACCCTGGGCTAAGGCACTTTGAATTGGTGTCCGAGTCTGCATGGGAGCTGTAGTGTCTCTGAGGGCAGCCAGAACCCATCCACGAAGGGGTCTGGGGGATGCCACGTCCTTTCCAAAAAGTTGCCATCTGGCTGGAAAAACTCACTGTGGGTCTCAGACCCTGAACATGGAGGGGGTCCCGGGAGAAAATGCTCAGGCTGGCTGGTGGGGAAGAATCTTGGAGCAGCAAAAATAACTCTGGAAGACAAGAAGGAAGAGAAGAGAGACTAAGCCCAAAATATAGTCTTTTTTCCTACCTGTTCTCTCCAACCCTCTCCCTGCCCCACCTCAAGTTCTCTTTCACACTGGGGAAAAAGCCAAGAACAAAAAACAGTGAGAAGAAACAAGTCAGAAGACAGACACAGGTGCTCACAGTTCACACTTATAGCCCTTTGCTAGGCAATGATGGTGCAGGGTCATCCCTGAATTCCCTTTGTCACACAATCTTCCAAAATTCCCTTAAGTACCACCTAAGGCCTGAAGGCTGGAGTGTAGATTGAATGAATCCTCAGTGTCCCTTCATTTTCTTAAAAGAAAACTGTAGTTGGTCTCCCCATAAATTATCAATTATAGCTATTTTCTTCTTCATGTTCCCTACCAAGAACTAGTAGAAATCATTTAGTGTACAGACCAGACATAAAAAATACTTGATCTACTTAAAAAATGCCTTTCAAGTTCCCTCCGGTACATCAAAAGTGCACATAAACAGGTTGAGTCCAAGGGTCCAGAGGACCTTGGGAATTTTGCAGGCTCTTGCTGTTGTCCAAATGGTGGCCAAGAGACCAACAACATCAGCGCCATCTTAGAACTCATTAGAGATGAAGAATCCCACTCTAGTCCTCCTAAATCAGCATCTAAAACAAGACCCCCAAGTGGTTCATATATACATGGAAGTCTGTGAGGCTCTGTCCTAGGAACTCTGCCTTCATAGAAACAGACAAGTCCATGACCCTACATCCCTGAGAGTAATGGAATTCCTTATGAAGTCAAGGTCTCCCAGCTTCTGGCTCTCCATCACACTCTGATCCCCAGCCTTGTCGATATCAGAAGCATAGCCTCCCTTCTTGGAGGATCAAGGTGTTCCCCTCTCCTTGCTGTGAAGGTGCATCAGCACAGGCTAAGACCCACCAAGAGGACCACACTGCTGTAGTGGAGGCACAGGGAGGTGCTCACGGTAGCGTTTTCCTGGAGAGCTGCCTCCTTGGGTGGCTGGTGTGCTAAGGCTGTCTCTAGCTCGCTCCAGCGTGCACTCCTTTGCTCCAATCTCTGGAGAAAAGAACCCTTTGTTCCAGTTTTAATCACTGTGTTCTCTTGTCTAATGGTCTGATTTAAAGGGCCCAGGACTGGGTGTGACGCAGGTGAGGCCCAGTTCCCTTGGGTAGGAGACCACACATAGCTTTACAAAGGGGTGATGCTTCCCGTGCACACTTCCTAGAGTTCAGGAATTGGGAGGTTAAGATCCTAGCCATCTCCTGCCTGAAATGACTAGTAACATTGTGGCAGTTGCCTCCGTCTGCGCCTGGCACAGATGCATAGCATCAACCTCCAAGGTCAGTGGTCCAAGTGCATGGGCATGGACTACTCCATACTGCAGTGGGCAGAGCCCTGTGATTGTGTCCAAGCTAGAAGATTCCAGAGCTGAGGAAAGGGTCTCTACTTTAACCAAGAGCTCCATTCTCAAGGGACAACTAACTTATTGACCATTAGGTAGTCCCTAATGTTCTGCCCTGATTTCTGGTGGGACAGAAGTGATTTCTGTGGCATGTATTGAGATGGGGAGCAGCGGGCAGGGAAGAGAAGAAACAGTCAAGGCTGGAAGGGGTAAGAAAAGGCGAAGGAATAGAAGTAAAACAAAATAAAGAGCTCCAGGATGAGGTGCAGGAGCTGGGGTGCCTTGTGGCAGGGCCCCACCCCACAGGACCCCCCAATGACAAGGGTGAGTGGTTACGTACTGATGGGTCACCCACCGATGAGGATCATGGGCCGGTTCTTCATCTGGGAAATACTGAACATGCCTGGGGTAGGGAAGGATGGGGAGGGAGAGGAGAAGGAGGGGCAGAGAAAAGGCAGGAGAGGAGAGTTCACTAAAACGAACGGGAGGCCCACGTGCTCTGACAGCCCTGCACATGCGCTAGCTGTGACAAAAAGTCCCCACATGCATGTAGCCACATCACCCAAGACAGAGGACAGTCTGAATGCCCAGGGCACTGTCCTCTCTAACAGAAGACAACACGTGGAAATAGGAAATGGCAACCCTCTCTCCCTAACCGGTAACAGCCCAATAGAATTTCAGGTCCTCCTGTGTAGCCCCTGCCATGCTCATTTCCCCAAAGGAGAACCACCACCCCAAGTCCAGAGCTTCAGAAGCGAGTTGTAGCAGGGACCTTAGACCCACCAGCTTCTTCCCGGGCTTTCAGTCTGCTTACCCCTAATTCTGAACCTCCCTCCTGCTGACCATAGCACCTCCCTGGCCTTCTCACTCCCGACCTTACCTGCATGACGTGGCTTCTTCCTGCCCACTGCAGCCCCAATGATTTTCAGCAGCTCCTCCTCAGAGGCCCCTGCCCGCAGGTGGTCCCGCAGTGATACCTCCGAGTTCCCAAAGAGGCACACCTGTGTGGGGTCAGGACAACAGGCCCCTCACCACTGAGCCTGAGCACCAGTGTCTGAGCCTCCCATGTAGGATCATACACAGAGCAGGAAACCCAGCCACGAGGGACAGAGGGTGATGAATGGAGGGGTCAGAGAGGCTGAAGCAAAAGAAGCAAAAGTAGACTTCCTGAGGCCCATGTCGGATTTAGTCATATTTCCTTTAGTGAACACATCATACTTTGAAAAGTTAAATAGAGCTGGGTGTAGTGGTGCACATCTGAATCCCAGTGACTCGGGAGGCTGAGGCAGGAGGACTATAAAATTCAAGGGCAGCCTCAGCAACTTAGTGAGGCCCTAAGCAACTTAGGAAGACCCTGTCTAAAATAAAGAAATAAGGAGGCCTGGGGTATATAGCTTAGGGTAGAGGACCCTGGGTTCCCTAGTACCACACATATTCACAAAAAATGTCAAACAGATGCCAACAGAAATAATACAAAAAATCCAGGTCCGTATCTTGCACTGAAATGTTCAATGGAACAGCCTCTTTACCACCAGTGGACCCCAATCAGTTGTAACTGAGTCCTTAGACAGGACATGCATATCCATCTTACCTCGGCCCCTCGGTCCTTTCACTGGTGGACATTACCACCTGCCCCACTCCTATTCAAGCCTGTGAGCCCCACTGGGTAGCTGGGCATTTGAGGACTGGCAGAGATGACACTCTGGTCATTCAAGCCTCACGCAGTGCTTCCCAGCTTCTTTGAGAGGCTGGGCACTACAGGGGCTCAGGGACGGATGAGGCAGTCCCGAGATGAGAGTCAAGAAGAAAGATGGGCAGGACATTTCCTCTCTGCTTGACATCTCTGGTGGGAGTGGCTTCTTTTCACAGCTGCCAACAATGCCAAGCAGGCCCCCTTTCCTCCAATGCCGAGCCCTCACTGGGTGATATCACGTCCTGCCTTTTCCACCTAGGTGGCAACAGCTATTCGCTGCTGCTCATCAGAGTGCCTCTATGCGACCTGCAGGTTCCCTTCACCCACACACTACAAGCAGCCTCCTCCTTACACTCTTTCCAGAAACCCACCGTGCATTTCCTGCTGGGATACAGGCAGCAGCTTCAGTCCAAGTCAGTTCCACATTTCCAGCCCAGGAAAGTCCCCAAACCTTTTCAACAACCCTCTGGGTTGTTCCTTTTGGATGTTAAACTTGATGCACCCAAACTCAATTCCTCACCCCAATCCTCAGCAGGTCTTAAGGCTCAGCAGCCACTTCAACACCTTCCTTTCCTCCTCTCCAGACCTCGAGCTCTTGGATTCTCAAATCCTCACCTCACACCTCTGAGTGCTTGGGGCACTGCTGAATCATCGTCTAATTAGTCTTCCTTATCTTCAAATCCAGAATGGATGGGACTCATGCCTCCCCTTGTTCAGAAACCTTACAAAGCTCCCTACTGTCAACAGAACTCGTTCTGAACCAAAGTCCTGTATAATGTGGTCCCCTCGCCTGACTTCAATCAGTTATGAATCTCAAGTACACACCCTCCCTCCTCACTCCTACCCTACCATCATTCGAGGTCCCCGGAGATGTAGTGCTCTTCAGGGTCCAGCACCCTCACTGCCTGTCCAGACACGTGCCTGGCAGAATTGTGGGCCTCTGCGTACCTCCTCTTTGGGCTCACCAGTGAGTTTTTATGGCCTTAAAGGGAGCAGGCTCTTGTATTCCCCACAGGACTGAACACACAGAACATGTTTATCAGATGGGAGGAATAGATGTTGGCTTCAGAGCTGAGCCCCAGGCCCGATGGAGAGGCTGATCCGGGTGAGTGTGCAGCAAAGTGCACACTGGTCCTTTAGCCCTCCCCTCTGGGAGCCCTGAAGCTGGATAGGGGCTCCCAATAAACCAGAAGCTACTTTAGGGGCCCAAGAGAAGAAAAGAGGGAGGGAGTCTGGGTCACAGTGCCTCAGGGGCCATGAGTCCACTGCTCCCATGCTCCTTCCAGATCTGACATTATTGCATCGACCTGTGACCTGCTGCCTCCTCTCCCGGCAGCGGGGGGAAATGAGAACATAGGGCAGTGAGGGGTCCTTGTGGAGGAGGGGTGCTCACCTTGAGGTTCCCATCAGCTGTGATCCGCAGGCGGTTGCAGGTCCCACAGAAGTGCTCAGACATGGATGTGATAAAGCTGACCTGGCCTAGGAAGCCGGGGATTCTGAAGGCCTACGAGGAGAAGGGCAGCAGAGGTGGAGGACAGGCTATTGGGCCAAGCATGCCCTCCTCCAATCAGGACCCCCTACTCCACAGCCTGCTCTGAGGAGCTCGTGGGAAGGTGGCACCCAAAGCCCTGAGATGACAGACGACACCAGTGTGATGAATGACTGGTGCCTGGTTTGTCCTAGAGGGACCTGCTGACAATACAGGGACCTGTGGGCAGCACGTCTAGAGAGACCAGTTGGATAGGGACAGCAGGCCCTCTAGCTACCTGCTGGAGTGTAACCCTCAGAAGAGATGAAGCCTCATCCCAGCCCCATCTGCTGGTTCATCCAGGCACAGGAGGAGGTCACCAAGGCACTGCTGAAACACACCACCCTCTGCAGCCCCTGCCTGCTCTCCATGCGGGAGCAGAGGCCAACGGCCTCCCCAGCCTCTCCCTAACCTTGGCTGTGCTGCATTCCTCCTCTGGCAGCTTCTCCAGCTCTGGCCACTGCTGCCGGATGGTGTCCAGCATCTCCTTGTAGCTGACCATCTTCTTAAAGTTCCACTTGTTGCCTATATTTGGGTTGGGGTAGCAGGGGGAGCTCTTGAGTCACAGAATTGAAGGTTCTTCCAGTCTATTTTCCCATGCAGCACAGGAACTAGACTCCAGCCCCTTGGATGGGAGGACAGGGACCCCTGCTCAAAATGGCTGGACCAATCACACTCCACTGAGAATGCCCAGCACAACGCTGAGCCAGCACCATCCACGCCCCTCCCACCATCCCTGCGGTCAGCAGGGCCCACAGGGTGAGCCCAACCTTGTACACTTCACTCAACCCCAGACCCAATTTCCTTACCCTTGCCTGCCACCCCATCACTGACCGTCAAAGGGCATGTACTCTATGAAGCGTATGTCCAGGGGGAGTCCCTTGGTCAGGGTCACGAAGTCCAAGAGCTCGTCCTCGTTCAGACCTCGCATCACCACGCAGTTCACCTGGCCAGGGGCCATGGGATGACCATGAGGGACAACCCAACATTCTCTTGGGATGACCTTTAGGGCTCTAGCAACTGCAGAAGTCTTCCACTGGGGGACCAGACCATACCTCTCCCCACAATTCTCCTTAAGTTGAAGGATTCCCTGGGGCTATGCAGTGTGAAGGGAAGTAGTGGGAGATACACTTCGGCTGTCCTGGCCAGGGACATTGTCCCCAGGGCCAGGGGAACCATGTGAGAGTAGAAGGCCAAGTCAGGTGGGGGAGAGAAGAGAAGTCAGCGATGTGGTAAGTCCTCACCTTCACAGGGCTGTAGCCCAGCTCGATGGCCTTGTGGATGCCCTCCATGACCTTGTGGAAGCCTGCAGGGAAGGAGAGAGAGTCAAGGACCCAGGAACTTCCTCTCCCCCACCACAGGGAGCCTTGCAGAACACTTCGTCTGCAGAGGGAAAGCATTTTCTATAACAGGTCAGAGAACAAATATGTAAGGTTTTGCAAGCCAAGAGGTACAATCAAGGATTCCACATAGGTAAATGCCATGTAGTATTTTTTGTCTAAATTCAAAGTTTGCTAATGAAGTATCTTTTGTAATACAGATCTACAATAGGATGGAAGGAGGGAATAATGTTTTTTTTTAATAAGGAGACTATTTTGCTTAATTAGGGTTCACAATTAATGTTCCAAATCATTAATTAATTCCAAATGTTATCTGTAAATCCATTCTGGGTTCAAAGGCTGTACAAATAGATGGCGGGTAGATCTGGCCTGTGGGCTGTTGTGTGCCAGCCCCTGATCTAGCTGAACCCTCATGTCTGGATGAGAAAGCTGAGGGCCAGGGGAAGTACTGTCCTGTGGGGGAACCGGGGAGTAGTCTCCCTCTTACAGAATACAGGTTTCCCCCCTCTCCCAGGTCCTTTCCCCGTCCTTCATCAACAGTCCATCCTTCATTCACTCAGCATATACTCTGAGCACCAATTGTGTGGGTGCTGCTCCAGGGCTGGTAAGCCATTACTGTGCCTGTTGTTGTCACCTCCCTCTGTAGTTAACCTTGGGCTGTGCCCAGGCCATCCTGAAACTCCTCAGGCACCCAATCATCTGAGCACCAACTGCAGGCGGCCCCTCCTCACCTGAGGTGCTGCAGTCTGGGTGGTAGCCCCAAGGGAGGGCACCTGCTGATGGTCTCTGTTCCTTACAGCATTTCTGGTTTCCCAGTGAGGGAGGACAAGGACAGGAATGTGCAGTTTTTATAGAGGACACTGCTAGCCTAACCAAGGACCCAGAGTTCCCTTCTAAAGCACTGCTCCCAAAGGCAGTGAGGAGAGAGTGAACAGAGGGATGATCTCATGTCAGGACATGCTATCTCCAACATATGCGCCAGGGAAGGACAAACCAGGAGAGGGGAGTAAATGGACATGGAGGTCAAGCCCACAGATGCCCCTTCTGCTTTCCACCCAGAGCCTTTGCAGGTTCTCTACCCGCTGTCCCCTCAGAGGGGGCTCCCTTGCACCAAATCCTCTGGGTTCTTCAAGGTCAGTACAAATGCCTCCAGGTTGACAGGTGGCACTTCGTCAGTACCACCAGACAAGCAGTGGTTGTCTGGATACTTCAATTTTTGGTCCTTAGTAGCCTATCGGGTCAGGGCAAGGTCACATGTGTCTTCTGTCCCCTGCAGAGCATGCAGAGCAGCCCTTTGTAGAGGAAGGAGGCTTGGTGCTTCCTCGACACTCAGGAGAGTGCAAACAGGGAGCCACATACCAGCAAGGGGGAGGAAAGAAGATGGGAGAAGGATATTGACACTTTTTCCAAAAATGTGTCCCAGCCCTGAAGCTTCCATGCCTAGGAGACCAGACCCTGGCCCAGGGAGACCCATAGATCAAGGATGGCTCTACCTGTCTACCTCAGCGCCCCCTACCCCAAACCCTCCAAGGCCACCAAGCAGGAAGAGGGTGAGGGAGTGTATACAGGAGGGGTGAACGAGAGAGGCTTATATCTATAGTTGGGTATAGGACAACCACAGGGGACTGCTGGGGACCCCCTTCCAGCAGGGCCCACTCTGGCTCTGCCATCTCGGGTGATTACTTCCATCATGGTCAGGCCCACATTTCTTCAGAGCTCACCTTAAGGTGGCCAACTCAGCCAGCTTGCCAGAGACTGGTTTTAAAACCCAAAGGCTTTCATTCTGGAAATTCCCTCAGTCCCGGGCAAACTGCGGCTGAGTTTGGGAGTCAGGGAGAGCTGGGTCGCCCTGGTTCGTTGGTATTTCATCCTCAAACGGTGGGCATTTGCCTCATCTACAGCCAGTGACTGGGCCCCTCACTCAGCCCCAGCCATGCAGGAACTTGAGAACACCACCCACCCCAACCTGAGTCTGATCACCTTTCCTGCGGACGATGAACTCAAACTTGGCTGGCACCAGGGTGTCCAGGCTGATGTTGATGGCAGTGAGACCTGCTTTCTGAAGTGCGGGCAGCAGCCGTGCTAGGTTGATGCCATTGGTGGTGACCCCGATGGTCTTCAGCCCTTCCAGCCGGTGCAGCTGGGCTGCAGAGACAGCACAGGGTGGGAGACATCAGTGTTCGCCTTGGTGAAGCCAGGAGAACGGCTGGAAGGCAAGACTCAGACCAGACAGAGGGAGGGAGTAGGGGTTCTCTCGACCTGTTAACCAGGCTTGGCTAAATAAAAAGTGTCAGAATAAAAACCATGGCAACAATCACCAAGAAATGAAATATTGACTGCTCACTCAGGGCTGGGTGCTCTGCAGGCACAGCTCGCTCAAGCCTCCCACAGCCATCAGCATTATTTAGTTGATGCTATGGGCTCAGGTCTGGAATTTGCCCAAAGTCCCACTTACCAGAGGCTTGGTTCCTAAGGTGGTGCTATTGGAAAGAAGTGAAAGCTTTAAGATGTGGGACCTAGTTGGGGGTCCAAAAAATTTTGTTCAAAGTCACGCAGCTTCTAAGAACAGCTGAGATTTAGGTCCATGTGTCCTTGAATCTAGGACTGTGTTCCCAACAACCAACAACACAGGGCCTGTGTGACTCTGTCTAACAAAAACAAAACTTGAGTTCAAATTAAGTACTGTTTGACACCCCCACCCCACAACTCCCTAGGAATAAGGATCAGAAATTCATAGCTGCCCTAGAAGGTGAGAAAAATTTCATCGATGGCCTAGAGTGACAAAGAAAGGCTACAAGATAGAAAGTGGATGGAATCAGATGGAGAGATGACCATAGCCCAAAGGCACTGAAGAGGATTCTGTAAAAAGGTGCAAGTGACCAGTATGTGCCAAGCTTGGTGGTCTGTGTACAAGAAGCAGAGGGATCTCAAGGCAGGTCAGGAAGTTGCCTGGCTGGGGAATCATATCTGGATAAGCTGGGCAAGCTGGCCTCACTCCCTCCCTGAGAGCAGGGGAAGGGAGTGGAAGCAGGGCTACAGCAACATGGTGGACACTACGGCAGCCCACAGGGAAAGCCCTGGAGTGCTGCGGGTCCCCTTGCAAATCAAAACCCACAGACGCTCCAGTCCCTTTTATAAGAGGTCAGAGAATGTTCATCTAACGCACATCCTCCCGTATCTCTAGGTTCCTTATCATACCTAATACAACCTAAGAACTATGTAAACAGGTTATACTGCAGAGGTTAGAGAATAACGACAAGTCAAGTCTGCTCATGTTTAATACAGGTGAAAACGAGGTAGGTCGAAGGACCTAGTACATGTCAGCAACAGCTTAGTGTTTTTCACTGAATAACTCTGATCCATGGTTGGTTGGTTCTGTGCATGCAGAAACTGATACAGAGGGCCGACTATAGCTACAGAAAGAGAAAACGTGACAGGAAGCAAAATGTACACATGGAAAATGAGCAAGGTGCAAAACTGAGCAAAATGAATTCCTGAAGAACTGCACACGAAACAAAAGACCAAAAAAACCCACAACCCAAACAAACAAAAAAATCCCACCTGGTGCTAAGGATATAGCTCAGTTGGTAGCGTGCTTGCCTCAGATGCACAAGGATCTGGGTTCAATCCCTAGCACTGCACACCGACCTGCTCACATTCAAATCCAATTAATGTCCAGAGAAAAGATAAACCAACCGTGTGGTGTGCTGTAGTTTGGATGCTGAATGTCTCTCAAAGACCCACAGGTTAAAAGCTTGGTCCCCAGAGTCGCACTGTTAGGAAGGGCAGGGCCTTAGGGGAGGTCATTAGGTCACTGAGGGTGTGTCCTCAGGAAGGGACTTTGGGACTCTGCTCATCTTATCTCTGATCCTGGTTCAACACGCCGGGGGCTGTGACCACTCAATTCTCATAAGCTCCAGCCACTGCCATCCACTGTCCTCACCAGAGACAAAAACCCACTGGATCTCGAACGTGAACCTCCAGAAGTATGAGTGAAATAAATAAATATTTTCTCTTTAAAAATTAGTTGCCTCAGGTATTTCACTGAAGTAATATAAAACTGACACTGTCAACATGTTCACAACAATTATCTTTGTGATTATAGAAGGATTATAGGTGATTTTTTAAAAACAATTTACCTACATCTATTTTTTTTCTATAATTTTTCTTTAATAATGTCAGCGCGCGCGCATGCGTGCGCACACACACACACACACACACACACACACACACACACACCCCTTGGTTTGTAGTTGACTTTGTGCTACTGGATAGTAACACTGATTAGGTCTTTCCATCCTGAGACAGGTGCTTCCATCAAACTAGGGAATGGATGGCTCCTGGTGGAGAACCAGCCTAGTTTCCCATGAGAGCAGACACCAGGAGTATTGCATCCTAGCAAAGCTGGACTGAGAAAAAGGCAAAAAAGATTACCAAGTTAATTATCTGTTTTGATAGGATTGCATGGGAATGCACATGCTCATGGTGTAGGGGAAAAAATCCTGGGGAGAAGTTAGAGTATGGAACTTTAAAAGGCTTTAACCTGGAATTTCACTTCTATGAATTTAACTTAAGGAAATAATCGCGGCTGTGAACTATAGCCATCGACAAGCTTATGACAAACTGCAGAGCAACACATAATAAAGCAAAGGCAGGCAGGACACAAAACAAAATGTTGACAGTGGTCACACACATGGGCAGTGGCAATATTCTTTTTGCTCATCTTAAATACACATATATTAAAAGAACATAAGAGTTTAAAAATAGCGGCTATGTGAAAAAGCAGAGAGGAACTTCACTCTGGCTCTGCCAACAAGGGAAATTAGCAGTGCTCATTGGATCCCTCCACCAATCCATCCTGGAGAAATGTAAAAAAAAAATCTTGAGAAACTCACAGGAAGATGAAAGCTGCTCTGAACTGGTGTCTGGGGGGGGGGGGCGGCGCAGCTAGGGCCACTGGCAGGGAACTTGAGCAGAGAAAGGAAAGCAAGGCAGTGTGAGCCCCTTTCTTGCTCCTCCACTGTCACCTCGACACAATCACTGCCGTCCCCTTACTGAAGAAGGGGTCAGCAAATGCTCAAGAGAACCAGTTTGGGAGCCCACAGGAGGTGAACTGAGGAACCTGCCAAGCCCTACTGGGAGAGGAGATGGGGACAGCTCGTGGGGACTGACCATCCCCTATGTTCACTCCCCCCATGCTCCCCCTAAAAGGCTAGGGGACTGTGGATTAAAATTAGGGGTGACCGTCTCCTCCCAACTCTACTTCTCACTGAGGACTTCAAAGCAAAGACCCACAGGAGGGCCACCTGCACAGTGCCGCAGCACGCCCTCTCATTGCAAGTTCAGTGAAGGAGAGATCTGGTGAGCTCCAAGATAAATAAAGTAGATCCTAAAAGTGTAAAAAGGAATAAGACAAAATAGTAAATAAAAACATAATTGTGATATAAAGAATGCAGATGACAGAGTCATGGACACAGAGAAATCAAGTGATCTGGAAGCCAGGGCTAGGCAGCCCTCAGGAAATGAGAAGGAAAGGAAGAAATCAAAATATAACTTAGGATGAAGGCCACAGGTAGGAGGAGCAACACTCAGCAGAGTTTTTTAGGGGGAAGATTTAATGGAGAGAAGGATATACATGAAGAAATAATGGAGAAAATTTCCCCAAGCTTATGACAAACATTTTAGGATTAAAAGCAAAACGTTGGGCTGGGATTGTGGCTCAGCGGTAGAGCGCTTGCCTAGCACGGGTGGGACCCGGGTTCGATCCTCAGCCACATAAAAATTTATTTTACCACATAAAAATAAAGGCATTGTGTTATGTCCATCTACACCTAATAAATAAATAAATATTTTTTTAAAAAAGGTTTAGGGAAAAAAAGCAAAATGTTGCTGTACAAGGTGCTATGGGAACTGTTTGCCTAGCTGGGTTTGTGTTTTCTTTTGGTTCCATTCCTTTTTTTTTTTTTTTTTAATATTTACTTTTCAGTTGTAGTTGGACACAAAACCTTTATTTTATTTATTTATTTTCATGTGGTGCTGAGGATCAAACTCAGGGCCTCACATGTGCTAGATGAGCGCTCTACCACTGAGCCATAACCCCAGCCCTCACCCATCCCTTCTTTCTCTGCCACTATTTCTTCATTTTGGAATGAGAATGTCTATTCTTGCCATTTTATAATGGATCTGTGTATCTTGCTTTTGGTTTTTACAAGAGTTTACTTTGAGTCTTAGATGAGACTCTGGACTTAGACTTTTGGGCAATGCTGGAGCTGTTAAGGCTCTGGGACTCTAGGAGATAAACTAAATGCACTTGAACTCTAAGAAGGAAATGAGCTCTTGGTGGCTCAGGGCAGAATGTTAACAGTCTGGATATGCAGCAATATTCAGAGGTGAAATGACTGGACTGTGAGAACTAACCAGTCCATCCTAATTTGAATGGACCAACTGGGTGGGAACTGCAGGCAGGTGGGACATGGCTGGAAGAGAGTACAGAGGGACAACTACTTCATAAAGCAATGCCAAGTTGTTTTCCAAAGTCAAATATTCACATGTTCTATGAGCCAGCAATTCTGCTCCTAGAGAAATCGTACAGGAAATGTGAGAATAAAAGTGTTCAAGGGTGAATTTTCCCCACAGCCCCTTCCCCTTTTCTCTCTGCTTTGTGGCCACCATGAACAATGGAACAGTGCTTCTCCCGCATGCCCTTCCACTAGGAAGGTCTGTGTCACCTTGGACCACCATGAACTGAACCCCTGAAAACATGAGCCAAAACAAACTGTCCTCTTATAAAATGAATTTTAAAAAGTGAAATTTTATTGAATACCAACAGAACAATTGAGGAAAATCTTATTCAAGATAGTCTACTAAATACTACAGTAAAATTCAAGGAAATCAGATTTTTAAAAAAAGATTATTAATAACTTTCAAAGTAAAAGAATGGAACACCTTAAAGGACCAAGGACCAAAATGACATGAGACCTCTCTCATGTGATATTGACTATAAAAGACAACTGGGTGGTATTTTTTTTGTGTGTGTGAGGGTGCTGGTTACTGATCCCAGGGTCTCACCTACTCTGTAGTGCTCTGCCACTGAACTATACTTGAAATACAAACAAAGTACAAGAACGCTAAAAAGTTTGAAGTAA